ATATTTTATTTGGTGTTCATAGCCTATATTAGCCCTCTCCTTAAAAAATATAACAGTAATTACATGCACATTACATATGAATATAGGAATATTTTAGATAGAAGATTATTTGTACTATTGAGTGAACTTCAATGGACAAGAAACATTCTAATGATCAGAATTAATGTAATACTAAGCTAATTTAGAGTTCAGAAAAATCTTTTGGTGTCTTGGTGTTCATAGATTACTACGTAAACGACCAGTATGGAATATTTTTGGTATCCCTACCGTCGCCCATCTTCGTATTCCAGTACACTGGTATATAGGCACTCTTTTGTAACATTATCATACAACGATGTGCTTAGCTAGGTATTATGTATGTATTCGGTTTCGTGGCTGTAACAAAAGATGAAGATCTTGTGATGGTTCTTCAGGTGTGAATTTTAAAATTCATACGCCGTGAAATATCTCTAGAGACCCATTAATATTCACCGGTCTATGAAATCTGAACACCTTACAATGTATTCCCCGGCTGTGACAGTAACCAACCAGTAGCCAACACCACACACATTCTGGTATCATATGGTGTAAAAAGAAGGCACGGTTTTTCCTGAATGATTGTTCCTCGGTTGTACATTGGGTCTAATCACTAGGCATTTTCCGTTTTTTGAATGCGTCATGCCTGTACTTGATTATCAATGCGTCTTGATCTTTGTTGTACCCTCTCTGTCTTGTTGATGGAACAAAGTCGAGTCTAGTTTTTTATTTGATTGAATACTTTCCATGTAAACCACTCCGGCAAAGGTTTCACCATTATTGTCAGCTAATTTTTTGGCTGAAAGGTTAAAATTGACTTTTCTTTAAAAAAAGGTCTGTATAGATGTTCAAAACTCTTTCGCCATCAGCCTTTGTGTTTTGTTGCTTCCTACTGCTGTTTATTGCTGTTCTGACAGATTCCTCGCTACCTGCTGTTTTCTTGTCGGTTCTAAAATTGTAGCAACGTTTTAATCTTTTAATGACTTCTCAGTCTTACCTTCACTTCACTGCATGATTTGCAATATTTTTTTCCTATTGTTTACAGTGTTAGAAGTAAATTAGTCAGCCAATATGCTCTGTGTAACGTGTACGAGTGTGGCAGTATTGTGGAATGTTGAAAGGACTAAACGGATACCTTGTACCATACCAGTACATCAGTATTCATAGCTAATGTTGTTCTTTAAAACTTTTATAATTTTATCGTCTCTCTTCACCATATATGCAAATCAACCTTAGTGTGGTGAATCGTGTCCTAAATCTACACTTAGGAATGCGTTTTATATCTCTTGTTTGGCTTTTCTGTTGAGACACAATGAAGAAAACCTACCTGGCGCGGAAATTTGTCTTAAAAATACCCTCTTCTTTCGTACAATGATTAAATGATGTGAATAGCAAAACAAATCTGCATCTTTAAATCACTGGTTTTCAATCTGGACAGTTAGTTTATTACGAATGGGTGGTTTCTACAAATCCCAACCGTTTTTAACTAATGGTAAGAAAATACGTACATGTAAAGCGAAGTTTTGAATTGATCAAGACATTGTTTAATTAAATAATATATTTATACTGGACGTTCTTCTATAATTAATATAGAAATTACAAACTTTGTTTAAATGTGGTACTAGTGCTCATTCCAAGCTAGATTTTCATTTCTTTCTATCAATTTTAAAATTCTGCAGTTTGGTCTAAATTTCAAAGTCATTAGAATCATTGAAGAATCCTAGAAAGAAGCTGTATGATGTTTTCGTTCATTATTCTATTGTGTTTTATTCTAAATTGTTATCAGAAGGTGCTTTCATTGTGTACCAGTTTCTTAAGAGTATTGTACTTGGAACGTTTAATAAGTATTTACTTGACCCAAAAATTAGATCGGTGCCAAACAATGCGTGGTTTTGAATTGAATTTGGCTCAAAGAAAAGAAAGATAGAATATTTCCATTTGCTGGTAATACTGTGTTGTCTAAGATTACTGGTATCCTAAGGATCAAGAAAGACATTCTTGAATAAATTTACGTTTTGCACCGATGAGGAGCGAAATCATTGATGTTATCAGTATGCGCACCTCTGCCATGTCGACTAGGAGCTGCGCCGTGTCGAGGTAACTCGGTCCACTGAACACGGGAATGTAGTCGTTCCCGCTCTTTGTGTGGTAAACATATTAAATATTGGGTTTGAAAATTACCCAGATCGTCCACACATCAGCTGTGTCCAAAACGCATGGTAATGGGCACTTCTTGTCTTTGTTATATGTTCATATTTATTTTCAGTTTCCTTTACTCTCGAAACATAAGCCCGAGGATGGTCGGAACATCCCACAAGCTGGGCGTGGCTGAGAACGCGTCAACTCCACCCTTGCTAGCTCTAGTGTAGGACACTGTCTCAGTGTGTACCTGAATACATCAGACAGGTGTTCTAGCTTACCTGTGTACGTAACCATTCTTACTGTTGTCTTCTACGCTAAACATGTTTATACATAAAACCACAGGTATTTAGAGAGAAAGACAGCAAAAAACATATTGACCTTAAGCGAATGGTATACATAGAATTATCATTATACACACATTGCGTCTATGGATCTCTGTGTAATTACATGTGAAAGGCTCGTACACAACTTAACACTATCACAAATACAAGAGCTTACTGAGCGCCAAAATAGCAAGATTGTAATTGAAATCGATTGAATCATTATGATATGTTTCGAATTTCTTTAAGTGTGTTTTATTTCTTTAACTGGAGTTGATATAGGTAATAAATAATAGAGAGAGTATGGTGTTGGAGGGGTCGGTTATATTTCTTCATTCCGTACACAGGCTTTTGTCCTATGTCCTTAACGAGTTAAGTGTCATTATCAAGGACGATCATTTAGTCTATACTCCCCATGGGGTAAATATGTTTTAATACGTGTTGATATTTACACAGCATAGTAAAAGCACCATATAGCGATGATTGGAATTTTACTTTTATTTACAAAAACAGTTAAAAAATTCACGTTATCCATTGAAGTTATGTATTTCAAGCAGAGAAATTATTTTCATTTTTTACCATTCACTCTATTTGAACAAAAAAAAAATATCTAAAAGTTACTAAGGCTGCCATATACCTAGGAGGAGCTTCCTGGGGCAGTTTTAGTGAGTTTCTCTTCGGTTTTAATCCTTGTTACTTGTAACAACATTGATTTTTCCTTGGCTGCTTGTGTTTCTGAATGTGTTTTTAAGTTTACATTAATGCCAATCAGGACCTTCGTTATTTTACTATTTACCGATTTTTTAACTTACTGCCGTTACCTTTTCTATTTGGTACTTGGTTAATTAATCACACACCATTCCTCAAGCTTCAGTAAAACTAAAGCGTCTAAGCGAGCGTGATTCCGAGGGCCCTTCCACTGCACCCCTCTGGGAAACACAGACCTGGGAAATGATTACGTTCTATAACATCACATGTAATGAGGGGTACAAGGCGTGAAATGTACCATATGGAACATGGTTTTAATCAACGGCATTAAAAACAAACATCTCCAATGTATACAACGTCTTAAATTGTTCTCATTATATCATGGAAATAGAATCATGATTGGTCCCCGCTGACGGTTTCATCGTCTGAAACAATTACAAGGGGGTAATGTTGGCTCGATAGAACTATAATAAAACAAAGAGAAGCGGGGTGCACGGAAGAATATGAAACAGAAAAATTCCAGATCGCTCCAATTGAATTCCTGTATCAAAACACCAAGAAAAAAACCTTCCCATACTTCAATCCTTTTATTCGATAGAGTCCAGTATGTAAAATCTCTCCACGCGATATTGCGATACATGTCATTTCATAGGATGTCTTAACCAAGATAGACATTATATGCAAATCAAAGGCTTTACACAAAGTTGTGTAATGTAACTAGATTGAATATAGGGTATGAACTATGACATTGTTTCCATTATACATTAATAGGTGGATTAAATTTGCATGAATTGATAATATTTACCAAGTTAACAACAAAAACATTTATATTTTGAAAAACAGATACCTTGCCACTGGAATAGTAGACATGTTATCTTTCCTTTATTAGTTTGCTGGGACATATGACCATATATGAATATATCACCCAATAAGGAAATATACTAATCTGATCTATCTTATATTGGAATGTTGTGTATGCAATCTAATTCCTTAAAGATGACTTAAACATATTATCTATTAAAATCCTTGATATTTAATTACGTGTATCCTTCATCCGAAAAACTAATATAATGTGTGTGGCTTTCGTGTGTTAAAATAATTGTACTATTAGGATGTAATAATAAAGGAGAAATATTTCTAGTCAGGCTACAATATTATAGTCCTACTGTCCCGGTGTATTAGATATTTACCTGTTACCTGTATGCCTTTTAGAGTACCGCGTAGCTCACTCCACCTGTACAGCGAGGCGGTCTCTGTTGATCATCACTAATATTAAAGTAAGACGGCGAGAGGAACAGACGCGTTGTGGATTTACCTCGGCCACCGAACATAACGCTACGTGGAGTCAGTGTTTATATGTGAAACCGATTATATTTAGGAAAAACATCTTATTGAGGATTAATAAGAATTTTTTTTCGTGTCTTTTTTTCGTGTCTTTAATTTATAAAAGAGAAAAAAGTGGCGATATTGTGTGCGAGAGTACGGCCTCGGAGTATAAGGAGAGGCTTGTAACCACATTGTGTTGCTGGTTTCCTGTGTTCACTTTTTCTCACCAGGATTACAAAACAAAAACCAAATATTTCTGTGGATTTCTTACAACTTATGTGTATTTGATTTAAATAGCTGTCGGCAGATGTGAACCGCTGTTGGTCCCGCTTCCGCAGCAGGCCAATTTTCGTCTTTTGTGACACGTTGGATTTTATTCAAACCCGATGTGAAATCAACAACTGCCTAGTGTTTTATAGCACGACGTTAGTTTTTAATTTTTACGTGATTTCGATATTGGATATTACTGGTGGAGTGTTTACTTTGTAGATGGCGGGCCGAGCTTGGAAGACGTGTCTTCTTGTCTACCTGGGGATCGGGCTGGCGTTAGCTAATGGTAAGTAAAATACCATCCCACTCTTAAATACAATGTCATATGTCAATAACAAAAACTAATAATATTTTAGACATAATACCCCTGTACTTTTGATATATTCTGTTCTATAATACTATTTCTTGAAAAACAGATATACGATTTTAAAATGTCAAATTGTTAGTATGTAACACCGCTTAGAAAACATTTTCAAGTCGCCCAAGCTGTTTTTCACCGATGAAATGTAATTTGATGAAGTTGGAATGTGAACGATCATGTCGGGAACCATGCAGGAGCAGGTTATGAGATCTTTCACGCAAATCTCCTTCAGTCAACTAAATACATTACTTGTGGGATTTGGTAGTTGTGCCTTTGTATCTAGAATGTGTCATTGTATACTTTATTTTCTTCACCATTCCTCCTACATTAAAAACACATTTTGTTTGTATAACATACAGTTACATTCCAATTTCAATTGCGTAAATATATGTCTATGTTTACTGCCTATTTATTCAATGAAATATGTAGTATTAAAGTACGAAGGGTTTATATTTAATGGGCGTCGATTTTAAATTGTCTCTTACAAATTATTAATTCAGTATCGATATCACTTCCAAAAGATATTTTAATGAAGTTCTATTAATATTCTCTTTAACAAAACTTTCAATGGACGATAGCGACATATCTAGAATGAAAAATTCAAAAGGAAGTAAACGGAACGTATTTTTCTTCTTTCGAATTCATCCATCAAGTTGATTGTTATAAACTATGAATCAAACTGTTAAACATGTCGTTTCTATTTTCTAGATAACGCTAAATGCGTGGCATATACCTGTACCTAACATGCTGCTAATTAATTCACATTGAGTTAAAGATTTATTTCTTTTGACATAGCCCATTAATTTGTATTTCATTCATCAACACTTTTATCAATCATAGTACAATTTTAGTATGATAATCATTATATAAAACTCTTCTTTCTTAATTATATTTGACATTTTATGCACAGAATAGTTTTGTTATTTGTAAATTTATGAATAAAAACGATCATTGCTTTTTGTCTGGCTGAATTTTAACCATAAGGTGGCATTTATTACTAACGGTTTAGGGGAACAAAATGCTGGCAATATTTTGAGTAAATAGGTAGGTTTTCTTTCAAATATTTTGTACAAGGATTATCTAGGAGGGTGATCATAACTTTAACATTGCTTCCCTGAAAATTGCAAAATTAATTTTTGGTACACATACAAGTGTCGGTGTGGAAACAGCAAAGAAAAGTTTTTTTTTTTTTACCTTATTTCAGTATTTACGAAATATAGACAATACATGATAGATTTCAAAGAAGATTTTTTTCTGAATTTTGGTGTTCAGGAGATTCACATTCCACACGTTCTTTGCTCAGATCAAGATGTAAACAAAATGACTTTTATAATGATACATCATTTTAATGTCGTCAGGGAAGTTACTACTAACTACAATGATCTTTAACCATATCTATATCCGTGTTCTGCATAGATACCGTCTTAAGTGTTCATCATGATGGCTTTACCAGTAATTTTACACAATATTGATGGTAATTTCAAGAATTTGATAAACCGTTTGAATACAATAGCTTGTTCTCTAAACACTAGAAATCCTCCTTGCTTCCTTGATATAAAACCTATGAGAGTGATGAGGAGAAGCGTTTAGTGTATATAATTAGGAAGAAATGATAACGCGGTATCAGAGGCGATAACAACACTTGCAGGCCGCGATGTTTACATGAGAGAACTTGGGGACCTTTTGTTTTAGATAAGGTTGTTATTGAATGGGAAGGGTGGGGTGTATTATCAGTGCTATATTGTGACTGTAGACCCCCGTATCACCAGGTACCTAGCAGATGATAAGCACCATTCTGGGGTCGTTAGCGGGATAGTTTCGTTTCTATCGTCAATGTCATCACAATCATTACACAACTAGTGTCAACACTTCTCTATTATTCGCTTCGGAGGGCAAGTTGAGAGAAAGCAAATTTCATGTATATTTCAGAGCTTGGCATCTTCTCAAGTAGTGATCATATGTTTACGATCCCGACCTACTGCCTGCAATGGTGAAAAAAGGTTCAATTTAAAAGAATGATTCGGCTATTTCTGTCGTCATTCTATCCATAATTAACAAACAATTTTTAAAAAAGGATGGTTCATTTTAAAGGTAACTAAAGATATAAAACTTGTCAATCGAGACGGGGTTTTGATACTTTATAAGGATGCGTCTCAAGTATGATAGTTTGCCATGATACAGTAACGTGATCAAAAGGCGTTTACATTTAAATAGACTACTTCACTCCCATAAATTTTATTCTTGTGCTTTCTTGCAAGAAAAGCAACAGTGCAAAACATTCGCTATGCATTCATTGCAAGTATGTTTCCATGAATATAACTTAAAATTTCCTTTATGTAAATTCATGTGAAATATTCACTTTATACACCTTGCTAGAATCGCGGATGAATTCACTCAAAACATATAGCTTCTTCCGCCAATATATGAATAATCTTATTCAAACTAGGTCGTGGCCAATGGAAGAACGCAGAAACAAGTTTAAATATGTTATCAAATATGTCAATGTTTTCATTTCTAAAACATATTTTGATGAGATATTATTCAAAATGTTAGAGTTGGGAAGTCTTTATGGCTTTGTTGTCGTTTAATACTGCCTTCAACAAGACATTTCGTTTAAAGTGAGAGTTATTTCCACATTTGTTGTGTAAACATTTCTGCATGTACAGCCGACATACGGGGATTTACATGGATTAGACATCGCTTTTACAGACACCTTCATGTGGGTCATTCAAAACGGAGCTAATGATAAAATCTGTTCAACAAGCCGGTTGTCAAATACATTAGAGAGCTCGCAATCAGTTTTTGACGTTATCAATTAAAAGCTATTGCGTAAACAGTGCTCTCCTCTCTCTTTCATTTTCTAAATGTATTTTAGGAATCTTGAAATGTAAAGCTTTCACTTGAAATTCATGTCACAGTAGTAACCCGTTTCCCGGAACCGTAAAGATCGCCCTACTTGTACAAGTTAAAAACACACTCAAACACGTAACAAAAAGTTTCTTGTTAATTGAAAACATGCCCGTCTGTAATGCGATATTACCTGATTAAAGACCTAGGACATTACTAATTCCCAGGAAGAAACGCACTGAATTTAGGAAATATAGTTCTTTTGATTACACAAATATAAACGTTAAAAATCTGTTAGTAAAGCAGTACTTAATTAGAATATATCCGGCGCAAAATTGAATGGATGTAGGCGAAAAAAATCATCTCCGATTTGGTTATCAAAAAATGGAATCCTCTCAGAATAGAAGCTTGCTGGGTATGATTCTAAGAGGAGTGCATTACATAAATAGAGAAATATATCAAGTATTTCGGGAAACACGCTGATGACGGGACCTTGTCTTTATAAACCAATTTCGAACAATCATTGGTTTACTGTGTTTTTTCAAAGTTACATTTTTATTTCATTACGTCCATAAAATAAATTTACGAGTCTAATATGCTGGTAAATTAAGTTCTAACCAACAAGATATAGGCTTTAAATTTTATAACCAATTTACTGAAAAAACCTATGTGAAACAGGTACATACAGCTGTGAGAATAAACATGGACACGAACAGTCCTATAACATGCACTTCACAAAAAATTTACACGGAGAAATTTTGGGTGGAGTAAATTATGTGTAAACCCTACATCTTGTCAGTGTTACACGACAATCTTGACTGTCACAAGTTTTATTTCTTATAATGGTGTGGCGACATTTCCATGCAGAGCATGTGTATGTTGTGGCCCAACTCAGGTAAGCGTGGAGTACGGCTGTTCTCGTTAAAGGGCCACACAGACGATCATACCGTTACCTGTACGTAAAACCGTTCGCCTCCTTATATCATATAGATAATAAATATTGTGTACGAAATCTTCAATATTGCAAAATGTCGTTATTGTCCTTGTATATACAATATACGAGCGAAGTAAATTAAGCTTTTAGAAATCTATGTCTGTTTTAAATGCTTCATTTTGTATTACAACACACAGAACAATATTGCGTGAGGTCATTTACGAAGAATGTACTGCATGCATGGACGAGGAAATACAATTATTGTCTGTCTTATCCAACTGAATTCGATTTCCGAAGTGTAATATTTCGGATGTTTTTAAACTATAATGGAATAATATACAGGTAGGCACACCCAAAGACATTGATAAATACCAACTGAATTTATATATCGCTTCAATATATTAAATAAAATAGCACGGGTAATTTGATAATTAGTGAATTATTTGTTGAGTAGAGTTTCATGGAATACTACCTATGGTGGTTTTGTCCGAGAAACATACTCAGTTGAAAATAACATTACAATAGATGTTCGAGTCAACTCTGCAGTCTATGGGAATGTCATCCGAAATCAATAGAAATTGGTGAAGGCCTTTTACGTAACACAAAATCAAGAAAAGTTTGTGCTATTCACTTGAAATCCCATGATAGATGTTATTAAAATAAAAAAAAAAGGTAATGAATTATTAAAACCCAGATTTATATTCATTAGAATGTAGCTGTTGGAATTCATGTCAAAGTGATGGATTTATCGTTATACATAATTGTATGTTAACAAGTTTGGACTGGGTTCATTATCACAAGGGGGTGACGCAATCACTTGATAATGGTCAGTGATAGAGGTCGATTATACATTTCAATCTAACAGATATACTTATCGGAAGATATTTAATAAATCACATACCAGGTAGCATTCCCAGGGCCAGAGACGGTAGGTGGATCGTACAGATGAATTTCAAACCAAGTGGTCAAAAGTAAATGTTGTAGACTTGTATGATGTATAGACTAGTCCCTGCAAACACTGATTGTAAATAGATAATGCCGGAATGTTTGATTTGTGTAATGTCTAGAGCCTATCGAGGGAGTAGAAAAACTATCTCTTAGTCAACAATACCAGATAGCTTTTTCTTCCAACACCCACTAATTCGCCGACCTTAAGTCCTGGGGGGCGCCACGAATGGTAAATTAAAACATCTTGACATTTACATTGGATTATAGCTATAGCACGATGACCTTTATCAGAGAGCTACATTACACAGCACCCTGCTCTCAGTCTCCGACTATCTTGTTTTAATTGTTAGTTCGCAGATTAAGCTCGTATTTTACGATCTGAAAAACATTCATTTAACGGAGATATTTCAAAACGTTTTCAATAACACGTTATCATATTATTCCTCCCAATCATTGAACATATCTGTGACGTGATGTAGACAACTCCTGCTCAAAGCTTTACTGCCTTGCTCATATTTTCTGTCAGTCGTATTTACAGTTCAATCATTACATACGTGATACATAAAAAAGTATAGGTACGACGGTACAACAGGCCAGGTAATTATTTATAAGTACGTAGAAAACACTGTTACTGGACACCGTCTTAACTCAAAACTACTGGTAACATCAATTAAGTTTAGTTTTTATTTAAGATGATATTGGCAATGTATCATCGAATTTATCTTTTTATTTTGATATCGTGATTTTTATATACTTGGTTCATGGCTTTCACTTGCTCCTTTTCAGTATGCCGTAATAAATCCAGAATGGGTTGTTAGAGGGAATGGTTAACAAATTACTTATATTAACAACGTCTGGTGAATTGAAGTAAAATCATGATGTAAGGAAATGACTTTATTACAACTTGGTACAGTCACTGTTTTACACTCTATACCTACTGGCAAATTTAAAAAGATAACAGAAACATGAAATAGACGACTCATGTTCACTAATTAGGAATAATGGTATATGTAGAGATAAAGTATTTATGTACAGACTATAGATATAGCGTTAAAGTCGTGCTGTAATTCCCCAATCTAGTGGAAACACATGTCTTTTAATTGACTTCTAAGGATATTTGCTAATTCTAAAAATGGAATATGACAGATTGATTTAGTGTGTTTTTTTTATTGTTTTAGTTATTTTCCAACAACACCAACTTCTGTTTTAAGTTTTACTTTAATTTGTTTACTGGGGTACTGGTGATTCTTTATACAAAATATAACGTTTTTTTTTCTTTCTCGAGCAATTAACAGAATGAAACAAATGCAGCTGTTTTCGTTTTTTACGGTGACGGGTTACTAAATTAAGACGGAATACCTCAGCCTCTTAAAATGTAAAATTTTAGTGTATCTTTTTTAAGAGCTAATTTGGTTTTTCTTCTGAATCAGTATTAGACGGCAATTAGGTGTTTAAAATCTGATTAATAAATATGTGATCGAAAATAAATCAGCCTATGAAAAGATTTTTTTTTAAATCCTGGTGGTGCGCTAACTACAGGACCTCCTCATAATGCTTTCAGGGTGATTTTTTCAATCTAAATCAAAGTAGGGTTGTAGGAAAATGTTTCGACTTTTCTTCTGTTAGGTAGATTTTAGTAATATGTCCAAAGAAATACATATTTCATTTGATTAGTATTTCCACTTGATTGTCTGTTATTGATACCTATCACCCCTGTCTGAGTAACATCTAGATAAGTTTCTGACAGGAGTAGACTGCAGGGTAGTCAATATATAGCGCTCACCCGAGGCCAATGTCCGTTCTACCTGCCACTAACACGACTCTTTGTCTCTAATCTTGTGTTAGCTGATATTTTTCAACTGACTTATTCATAATAAGTGGCATTTCAAAGAAAACTATTTACATATGTACGTCAAGTGAGATGTTAATACATAGTTGAAAAAGATACGGACACATGCATCACACAATTTATACATTATAACGTTAAATAAAAGAATAATATCGAATACAAACCTTAATGTATGTAAAGATTGATTTTTTGTTATTAATCACATATTTCTGCTGTTTTACAGTTTGTACCAAAATCGGTCCCCTTGGTATGATAACTGGTGAGATAAAAGACTGGCAGGTAACGGCGTCCTCGACCTACCCAAGATCATGGGACAGAAAATGTGATGTCAAATATGCACGTGTTTACCTACCAAATAAATACGGGTGGTGCGCAAAATACAAATCTTCCTCAGAATGGCTGAAGATTGACCTTGGAGTCGCGGCCCGGGTAAGTACAAAGCGCACAAACCACTTCGATCAAAGAAACGTCGGTGTTATGCTAATGCTTATGGGTGAATACTTGACGGAGTACTTTTCCGTTTACTTCTCTCTCTATATATCTTACGTGATATTCTTCAGTTTAAGAGATACACAAGCGTATACGGTGCTGCTTTACATGCATGTCAGCTATCAAATAAAGTAGTATATTTGTAAACCTCAGCGCTTTTTTTATAAAGCTAAATATGTACATAAAAGGCACACACTAAATTTTGTGTGGTAGCTTAGGTGCTAAGTTAAAAACACGTCAAATATAGTATATGGTATACGTTACTGTAAGTTGTCCATTAGAGATTGTACAAAGCATGATGCTCGTAAACTAAATACATTACATAAATAAAGGCACACGTTTTAAGCGAAATCCCCCTGTGTTCATGAACGTGCTGAAACACCCGCCATCAGTGCTGATAGTGTTATAGTTTCGTTTGTTTGAAGAACATTTAGTGTTGATGAAACGAACGTGGTAACTCTTAAACATCAATCAAGTATCTGGTCATGTGCCAGACCTTAGCAAGCACTTATTACTAATACCACGCGACATTTGTAAATCCTTCTGACATTCTTCAAATCACTATATATAACTACATCCAAAGGTGTTAATATCTGTCAACTTAATCAAAATTGGAAAATACGGTTATACAAAATATTTATAAATTTCAAAAAATAAAAAGAAAGCTTTATCAAGTGAAATTGACCATTTTATCACGTGCTACTTGCCGGGTTATCAGTGTTGTAATGCTTAGCTTGGCATAGCTGTCAGGGTTCGTAATATAAAGGTTTCGTAGTAGAATTTAATGATAACTAAATTTCATTGGCATCGCATAACATTGGTAATAAAACCAACGGTATAAAAAATAAAAGAAAAAACTTTTGTCATGAAAATGTAAATAAGATATGGTTTTACGACGCAGATGTACACCACGCGCCTGACAAAACCTGTGATTATTCAAATTAGGAACAGCAAGGTATACAAACAACGGTATATATCTTGTAGATTTATCTTTAAACTACATTCTAGACAAAAATTCTAGAATACCACATCTCATCTCTCTTTGGAAAATTCAATACCTATCTCTGATTACTTGGAGTATCATTGTGAAAAAAGATAAACAAGAATGAGGACGCAAAGTCATGGAGCAGAATTTGTCCGGCATACCTGCCCTCCGGCAAGTTCCAATGTTCTCAGCGCTCATCCCTTAAATGTCTGCATATTTTATCTAAGGTTTTAACAAAGTAGCAAAATGCTACTCGGTAGAGCCAGGAGCAAGATAGTTAAGGTGTGAAATTGCGTCTAACTTTTAACAATAGGGACTGTTTCTTTTGGCTAAGAGTATTGATGGAGAAAATTCACAATGTATTAGGTGGATGCTTATCGGAAATAAACGCAATTACTTCAATGTTTCGATACAGACCTGTCTAAAGGGTATGATTGTTGAAATAATTATCACGTGACAGGTAGTCTATTTATATGCTTTTATAACATTATTTAATTAAAGCACGTGGTGTTACTGGTCTTACACATTGTGTCTATCTTAAACCATTCACTGGAGTATAAATAAGTCTGCCATATTATTTTTTTTTAAGTTTTAGTCTATTTCCTTCTATTTACAATGATAATCTACTTCCACACCAGTGAAATATTTTTTCGTCATATCATTTACAACAAAGAAAATAATTGCTTAAATATGATTTATTGTACATGCATAATTACGATAATTTTCGCATCATATCACCATGTTTGAACGACTCTTCCCTGTGGCTGTTCCGTGATAGAGACAAAAAGGTGGCAGGGTCTGTATTAACGGCCTATTTATACCACACAGTGCTTATCACACATCTAATATCCTTACTTCATACATAAATATCATTAATTTGAATAATACTTTTCCCTTAAATGAATGCTTGATTGAGTATAGGTATACGTAATGTTTAAACCTTAAGATAAATGGCGAGATTTGCTTTTATCTGCCGAATTTGTGGTCGTCGTAATACCACACGTACTCAAACGGAATGCAGCTGTCAGGTAGTGGAATTATCTCAATGTATGTGTCGTCATGTTTGACAGGAATACTGATTTTTGACAAAACCCATGCTGATGTGGGATTCATTATATTGACTGTGTGGATAATAGTTTAAAGTACTAGTAATAACGAAATATCATCCTTGTATAGACACGAGGTCTAGTTGACATGTTTAGATATGACGAAAATTACAGTTAAAATATTTGACAAGTGAAACAGAAATTAACCCAGACACTTATAACTTCTCAGGTTCCTGAAAAATTGCTCTGTCTCGTGTAAGATTTCTAGATCTTTTCGTGATCATAAACACGTAAGTGTACAAAAGAATGATGACGGACCTATAAACAGGACTGGCGTTATGACTTATAGCGGAGGCCACGATCGTCCTAGATACACGACAAAGTCAAGAAATTAAACATGAAGAGCATTCCTTGTGACCACATGCGTTATCAATGCATATTATGGGTCACAATGCGTACGAATTTCCTAGAGAAAAAATGAATATGAACTGGAGATTGTTTCAAACACGGATTTTCCCGATGACAAAAACTGAACGCGTTTTGGAAATATGATATAACTGGTAGACAAAGTGACTATGAAGTAGACTTAAATGTCACGACATTCCTTCTAGTCCTACACTGATGTCGTGTCCCGCCCAGATCGATTTTAGATTAGAGACGACTCCCCAAGCAGTGGAGCTGGGGATGACTCTACCCTGGAGATCATTTATCCTCGCTCAGACGCACGTATTGACGACTATCCCAGGGTACAGACAATGGATGTGTAACACTTAATTACACCGTATACAACGTAATGAGTACACACAATCAAGCTCTATTAATGAACACGATTCATATATGATAATTCTGCGTAGGGGAGACTCTTCATGTATTTTTTTCTGTCATATCCGATACAAATCCTGAAAATTGATTTTATTGTCTAGTCTTATATTTATATTTCTAAGGATATCTCAAGCAATTTAAATAAGCAGTCGCATGCGATTTTATCGTCCTGGTCTATGTTGTTACCTATCCAGTTGGCAGGAAATCTTAACCAGGTGTAAACGTTGATTAATGTCCGTCTGATGTCGATAAATAACTTTCATGTAATTACTTACCTGAGTTTTAACTTAATTTTTACATCATTATACAATTTTATAAAATCATTACAAGCGAATGTATTCTAGGAGACATTATTGAATTTTTAATTCTTTAAATATATTCAATGTAATGTTTGCTTAATTATACCGGTCTCGCTACATGTGACATTTACTGACACGAAAATATCCTTGATTAACTCAAGCTTCAAGTTATGTCACGGAGGAATGCAGCAAAGGTAAAAACGAATGCCGTAAAATGTTGAATAAATAAGAGATTCCGACCAATCATACTCATTAGCCACGCTACCTTACACACGACAATGCTGACTTCCGCTACAATAGTGAGTTAATGGCTAATTTTAGGAGTATATTCATTTCATTTGCAACAATTGCACAGACTCGCATGTCGTTCATTTGCATTGATTAAATGGTTTATTGTTCTGGGATTAATCATTTACATTTGGTATCGTTAGGTACAAACCTTATCACGTAAATGTCATGCAATTTCTATAAAGAGTAAATCCCCAAGAAACAAACTAAACATGTTAATGTGTCATTTATATCCAAAGGAGAAGCCAACAATGAAAATATTAGATAATGTTTTACAAAGTTTTAACAGCATAATACAGATGACAAGCCACCACAATGAAATCCGGGCATTAACGTTGCTTCTGTGCAAGGGCTACACAGAGAAGAAAATCCACGAGAAAAATAATGATGTACTAAATATTTTAAGTATGTTGGATAGATAAGATTCTAGGGTTTATAGTAAAGTGATTGCTTTACACTAGTGTAGAAACTCAATACTAACAGGGAAGGCAAGCAAATCTCAGCAATCATGCAGCGTCATACTTGAGAGTCTTGTGATATGAGGTTAATTTCCAATTAGTAACAGTTAACATAGATAGGTTCCCATAGATATAAGTCTTATCTCAGTCCATACGACCAAACAAATTGTCTGTACGATCAGCACAATAACAGCAGTTAGCTGAGCTGAAATGGAAACCTTCGGTTATATCTGTCTCCTATGATGAGAATAAAACTATAAAACGGAGACCTGACATGGTTTATACATTCTTGATTTAAGGACGGGACTTGTTACACAATACATATATAACTAAACAAACATATTTTTGTTTTCAAAGGCATACACTTGTCATTGAAATCTCATTAGAACGACAAGTTCTCTATTACGTATTTTTTCACGTTTTGACCTTGTTACAGGTAACGGGTGTTATGATCCAAGGTCGAGGTGATGGGAAGGAATGGGTGACGTCATTTAAGGTATCCTACAGTATGGACGATTACAACGAGGAGTACGTTACTGACCAGTATGGCAACCACAGGGTAAGGTTCCTGGACAAAGGACATCCAGCAAAATATCCATATGTGTAAAATTAACGATATCACTGGTTAAAAGATAGGAATAGAATATACAGTCAAACCTGGAAAGTTCAAATGTCGTCACATCTTTTGGGAAAACTTAATATTTCGAATTTACGGATGTCTTCGATTTATACGAGTTCGAGATAACGAGGTTAGACAGTTTGTATGTTATGTTTCAGGGAAGTAACCATGTTTTGTATATTTTACACAATTTCTTTATAGAATTAACAATGATTATCATCGGCTGATGATTAATGCTGTGGAATTTAATATGTGTTGTGTTATTTAGGACATAAAGATAAGTGTTGTTTGAATTTATGATTTGTTACTGGTTGATGACAGGTGCTGGAGGGGAACACTGATGCCTACTCTGTAAAACATGTATACTTGGATCGACCAATCCTAGCTCGATATGTCAAATTCCACACTGTAGCCTGGCACAGACATCCGAGCATGCGCGTCGAGGTTCAGGGCTGTCAATGTGAGTTTCTTACATTAATTATGGTGTTAATATTTCTTAGTTAGTTGATAACATAAAATTGATGTCCGTTAATGGACCGAAATAACATGTTGGCATTTTGCGTTGTTTTTTTTTTTACAACGTTCGAAATTAAAACATTAATACATATATTATGTCATATTCAAAATGCTTTTAAAAATGAAAATTTCTGTTTGTTAGTTAATTGTAGACCCTTTCCTTTTGTGTTGATCATTCAACTTTAAAACATTTTACATGTAAATGTAATTTGCTTGGCAGTGTGTAAGGAATATATAGGCCTACCGCCCTATGGCCGGATCACAGCCTCCTCCTCCGGAAAACACCGTCGGAAGAGTTCCTGCCAGCCAGAGGATGGTACCGTTCTCAGTAACAAGGGCTGGTGCGCCAAGCACAGTAACAGTAAGTATCTCGATCTTTCATGTAACGATTTTATGGGACATTAACAGCACACAACAACCATCAGTTGATTCAAAGCACACGCCATAATGAACTAGCTACCCATCCATACAAGATTGTACGAAAGACACACAAGTGGATTACACATTTTAAAATCAAATTTAGATTAAATACAGTAGAGACCAAATAGTGAATTAAAATGCATCATACACCTATTTCGTCCTTCTAGGACTCGCCAGTGATGTTCAGAATATATATCATGAAGCCTTAAAGGCAACTGAGAAAAATCTAAAGTGATCGAAAGAAACGCCGTAATCTAGATAGGGAGGTGAACTGTTCACATAATTAATTTTACTGGTTGAAATAGGATGGTTATTTCTCTGATTAGGATAGTATGAAATGAGAGTTGTTGAGATTTTATGGTGTATCTAACTGTTTATGAGCGTGTAATGAGGTATTAGTTATCACTAAACATTCCTGTCAGTCGACTGGTGTATTATTGATATTTGTATCTTTATCTAAACTTATCCAGATTGGAAACTTAAGTTTTATGTTTTTACAAATAAGAGTTGTATTTGTCTTTTGCTAGGAATTACTGGTGTTATTATGAGCGAAGCAGTATTGATAGGGGCCAGTGTTTACTGTATATGATACATGTATATTGTACATGTTCGACACAATTGCTCCCAATGCAGATTTACACAATAATATGATTTCATGAACCAATGAACGCGAACTATTTTTTGAAGCGATAGGGTATCATAGAATCTAGTAGTGATCTGGTTAGCTCGGACAATGGAGCTCTGACATGTGATGGCTGGACATCTAGCCATCTCCACAATGAATATCTTATCTAACCAGTCATCTCTTCGGTAGTGGCGTTTTTTGCATGAGGTCTATCAGGAATGTTGTTGTCTTCTCACTTGGTATGACAGTCTTCACAGGTAAAGGATTACGTCCTATCACAGACAATACACACACTGGTCCTCAGTCTAACTCAACATGTCAAGATGGTGTTGGTTCGCGGATCTGTAATTGAAACTAGTATGCCCATCAACAATAAACATCTAATTGGTTAACGTTCCGTTGATAATGTATCTATTGATGAGTGAAGGGCATTCCTTGTGTCACGCATATTGTAACCTTGTTAATGTTTTATAAATCTACCTTATTCCACGAATATAGATGCCATTGTTTAACAGGAAATAAAATATGGCGATTTTTTCTACAGAGAGATGTGTGCATGAATATAAACATGAAGGTAGAGGGCATTTTGGTACAGTCACGTAGCTTGCATTACGAATATAAACAATGGCAACACAGATGTAGACAAGACGATGGAAACGATAATATATTATCACCTCCAGAACCAACAGAGTTCAATATTTAACTTTATAGTAAACGTCAGTGTACATCTACCTGTCTACTGAACACAGCATCTCAGGAAATCTAAAGAAGGGATAGCATTAAGATACCTGTAAACATTAAATAACACTTGAATAACTAACAGCAATTCATTAGTCCATACATAATGAAGTTTGTACACCATATTCCATCCTAACCAAGACGAATACCATCTCTTTAACACCTGAATTAAAAAAAATAGTAACCTAGCATAGTAAAAATCATATTACTGAACTTCTTTGTAAAACATCAATCATGAACTGTTCTAAATTATGTGAAAACTTTACATTGAACATTGCCAGTCACTTACCTCGGTTACTTTGTCACACATTTAGCCCTGTAGTTTCTCTTCCCTGCTGTCGAAATACTGAATTAGACTGAGGAAATTAACCAGCGTGTGGCAGTGCTAATTATTGCTCTGTTTTTTTAGCTAACGAGTGGCTACAAGTGGATGTTGGTCCTCCCACCCTCATCACTGGTATCATCACCAAAGGACGATCGGACAGTAAGAAACAACATTGGGTCACCCGGTACAGAATCTCCTACAGCAACGATACGCTCTTCTGGTACAAATACAAAGACCCACAACACACGGAGCCTCGGGTACGTCCATTTACGTCATCATTTATTGAGTGATGCACAATCACGTCATCACTCTTTGTGTTACTTTCTGCATTCATTTCATTGATATCAACTTCTATGTAATTTTCATGCTCTGACTTAGCACCTAGCCAAAAGGAAAATTCTTATCTCCATTTCATACATGCCAGATATCAGGTGCTATTGTTGTCAATGATTTAACATATTATCACTACGATGTGTTTTTATCATTATTTTATTACCTTGGTTTCACTTTCATTTTGGCTTCAAGGTTATTTATGTGATATATGTATATCAAGGTAAAAGAGGATTTTGTTTCTAATTGACGTATTCTGTCATTTCAACTTGATTCTGTTGTCTTTCTGTTTTCTGCTGAAATGATATTTACACGTACATTGTAATAGGGAGGGATCATTATGACAGTATTTCACATCCATACTATCAAACACCTTTCGCAAGTTGTTGCATTTGTGGTCACATGACCGTCACGTAATCGTCACTTAACATGACTTTATCACGTGCACTTGATAACAGACACGTGACAAAATAGTCACATGGTCTAAATAACAAACGATATGCCCCGAAGATATTTCGAAAAGCACATGTATTTTGATTAACTTGTATTCCTTAATGTTCACGGCTAACAATACACTATATCGGGTGATATGTCACTGTATTTACAAAATAACATTGATAAAGGATAATCTTAAAAGAATTAATACTACGTTTTATATGTATATAACTTGTTATTCAGATATTAACACACGGTTTTACTGTACTAGCAATTACACACAGTTCTATTGTACTGTGTATTTACACACCGTTTTACTGTACTAGCAATTACATACGGTTATATTGTACTGTGTATTTACACACCGTTTTACTGTACTAGCAATTACATACGGTTATATTGTACTGTGTATTTACACACCGTTTTACTGTACTAGCAATTACACACAGTTCTATTGTACTGTGTATTTACACACCGTTTTACTGTACTAGCAATTACATACGGTTATATTGTACTGTGTATTTACACACCGTTTTACTGTACTAGCAATTACACACAGTTCTATTGTACTGTGTATTTACACACCGTTTTACTGTACTAACAATTACATACGGTTATATTGTACTGTGTACTTACACACGGTTTTACTGTACTAGCAATTACACACAGTACTATTGTACACAGTTTTAGTTTAATGTTGGTATTAGTATTTCGAATACATTGCAAAACGATTTCTCAACAGACTTGAACATAATTGTGTGTTAGCTCTATTAGTAACAATAGTTTTAGCCTCCTAACGTAGTAAGTACATAGGTATGATCCTGAAGGTTTAATTACAGTATTGTGAATAGAGAGTGGGAATTAGAGAGCCTGTAGTATTACTGGTAATTAACCCAGTGTGTGACAGGACAGTATAGGTATGTTTAGACATAATGTATTGATATCATCTTCACACTCTCTTTGCCTCCTGATAAGACATTCATAACCATCAAAAACCACCAAAAATGTCATCCCTACTTTAATACGCTTTACTCGGATCACCACGTATCATCATAACACTACATGGCTTTCATCATTTTACCATCTATACCAATGACTCCTAATATGTAACTAATATTGACAGATCATAATTTGTTGTTGTTTACATTATGACATTTATATATTGTTTAATTTCTAACAATTTTGTCCAAACTGTTGCTTTATAAATTAATTTGCCCAAAATGGAATTATCATTAATGATGTTATAAGTGTGCTTTGCTTAAGTTACATGATCCAAATTGTCGCTATTATGTCATATCACACTTAACAACTTAACTACCAAATAAGTTCCGTAACCTTGCAGTTTAACATCAGTGCTGGTTCATAATGCCTTCCCTCCGAGTCGATGAAACCCTAATGGAGATATAATTTATTGTCTACTAGATAAAGGTGATTTGATGGGACGGATTTTCCTTTAGAATTTCTATCATTGCTCAACTGACAATCTTCGTTTTTTAGCCTCAGAATCCGTGGTTATGGAAAACGGGGATTAACTCATCTCGTCCGATATTAATACCTGACATATATACAGAAGATGGCCTGGTAAGAACTAACCCGTACAGGTGGCGCTGTCTATTCAAACTGACCTTTGGTGACACTGTGGATTTGCATATCATTTCATTCCGGGTCGTGCCGTTCATTTAGAACTATTCGTGATTCAATGTTTATTACTACAGAAATGATATATTTATGATGGGCAATGAAATGTCACATATTTAAATGTTTCATAAAGAATGTATGACCTTTTGTAAATGGTATGCAGTGTCACAGATACCACCGTCAGACTAGAAGGTTCAATCAGAGATATCCATAGATAAACACGTAACTTCTTGGTCTCATTGTTCAACACGTTATTTTCAAAATTATTCGATATATGTAAAGTCCTAAGATTCATTTGAACAATGAGACCAGTTAGTAAAGAAATTAGCTTGTTAGCAGATATTTTAGTGATAATAAGACATATCTTGTCATTATTAGATTAACTTTTTTCCAAATCATGCTTTGAAATCGAGATTTATTATTGTTTTTTTCCTTCTTTTAGTTTTATAGTAAATACTTTATCATTGTACGCATGGAATATTACACAACATGATGTTGCAATTTGAATTTCAAGCACATCACAGTCTGCAAGCTAGCTTGTCACGTGCACCAAATAAAATGGTCATTACGTAATTTTTTGACCCACGTTTACGATTGGTCGGCCGGACGAATGCAGTGCCCGGGAATAACATTCATATCACATTGCATGCGTGCATGTCCACTGTGCTAACATTGCATGTCAACTTACCGCAGTCAGTAACCCTATCCCAATCATTTATACTAATTGGAATTTTCTGTCCAGCCTTCTCTGACTTCTAACGATATTAATAAAGATTAATTCTAACCAAATCTCACTTTTGTATCCAATGCATGTGCAGGGAATCCCCTTTTTCTTAGTTATGTCTCAACATAGTCCACAATTCGATCCCAAACACATGGTAAGATATTTGCTTTTTTTTAAGTAGTACACTCGATCTGTTGTTTTGCAACATTCATTGCACGTGCGTTTGTTGTGTGTTTCGAATTCCGGAGCATGATTCTACTATACTTCCGAGAAACGCATGGAGAAACCGGAAGTAGAATGCACCGGCACAAATCGCACAATAGGAATTAGGATGTCAGCACCAGTGCACTCCTAAATACTTCATCGTGTTCCAGCCCCACTAATTGCTGTGATTTCGATGGTATTTCAGCTTTTCGGTGGCAACAGTGATAAAAATACAGAGAGAGTGCATTATATCAACTCTCCCTTCGTCGCCCGCTACATCCGTTTCCACCCTCTGGAATGGCATGGCAAGATAAGCATGCGTGTTGGGTTGTATGGATGTCCTCACACAGGTACGTAATGACCAGTTCTAAACGACCCCAACCATAACTGTCTGCCATTTGTGAAAAAAAACGGATACGTACACACAGGTCATGCCTAAATAAAAGGAAATTTATGAATAATATTTCTTTCTGTCTAACCTATACAGATTTATCGGTTACTTTGGCCGTCTGTTCTATATGAATTGCCGTATTTAACAGATAGATTTTCTGTGTTACAGTTATCTGTAATGTAGACTGTCTTTGCCCTTGGAATGATCTTTACGTATAAATCAAGTAGATATTTGTGAATTTATTGGGCGTAGTTCGCAAGGTCAAATGAATATACATGGCATAGTCTTTTGTTTGTAAAATGACCTTGGAAACCATGGCAATATGTGCCTGTTGCTATTGAAACAATCGTTCCTCCTTGGTTTTATCTCCTATCTGTTACATAAAGAAATGTTTTAGATGTAATTAACCTAGAATTGAATGGTCGATTGTAAGTGTTCAACTTCTCACCGCTTAACAGTAACTGTAAATGTTACGTAATACACCTTCCTGATCATGTGACATACAATGCCGATCTTTTGTGTCAAACAGGCGGCTGTGGTGATGCTTTCATGAGAGTGAACGAAGATACACCATGTGGTAAGTAATGTTTCAAGACATCGTTAGAGTCAGAAGCTCTTGTTTTTTTTCCAAAATATTAAAGTAAATATAAACAAGTGGTGATAGGGTACTCATACAGGACTATACAGGTAGATGTTGATTGATGAGCTTATACCATAGCCCATCAATTTCTGGTTCTATTCGGTACACTAGGACTTACCAGTTGAAGATTCTACATAGTCTTTGGTCCTTACGAAAGTACATATAAACTATCCAGGTAACCATGACCTATATTGTTGTAGTTGAAAATCTGGCATACAAAAAAGAAGCATGGATCAACAGCAAACGTCATTACAAACGTCATATCCGGAATAGGATCGTTCATGGGCATGCGTCGAGAGCTGTTGACGGTAGAATAGATGTGAGTCTGTCGAGTTGTACGATCCTGGATAATCTCTACGGAGATAACCCGATCTGGACAGTGGACATCGGCAAAATCAACCCAATATCAGGTGTAGTCATCTACACCTGGCAGGAGGGCACGACCCAAGACACCGGCGAAACAACAGCACTAGAGTCAAGTAAGCATCGCTACAAAATAGGGTCTAACGGATCCTTCATGAAAGACTGACTCAGTGTCATTTCATCAAAGATACCAAAGTTTAGAAAGAAGCCTAGTTCCTGACGAAAAGGGTTCAGATATGATATTGTCTTTTCTCGTGAGGTTTCGTTCTATCCTGTATTGACGTATTTGTTAAGTGTTTACCATAAGCTATGGTGTCATAGAATGGACTCTGGTAAATATAAACCTTTATCAGCATAGAAAACGTTAAACAAGGCATTTTTAGGTCGTCTAGGTCATCAATATATAACATAAGTATAATATTCTGTAATGATTCTGTTTTCCAGGTGAAGCTGGTACGCCGTATAAAGATGAAATGATGAATAACCTGGATCGACTTATAATTTATGTGGATGATAAATCGAAAGGAGAAGATGACTCTAGTGTTTCCGGAAATATGTGTGGATATGTGTCCAAAATCAACGGAGCATTATTCTCTCAGAAAATCCACGTACAGTGCGTGCGTCCCCAGGACGGCCGGTACGTGTTGGTGGAGGCATGGGGAGCCTCTAACAGTTGGAGTAGACTATTTAGTGCTGTGCTATGTGAAGTGATGGTCTACGCGTGATTAACGTAATACTCCAACAAAAATGTACCAAATATAACACATTGTTCCTTAGGAATCATTGACTGTTTTTAACTCATTGTGATATTTCTTTAAACAGAAGATAACATACTTCTGTTTTCGGGAAAGACGATTATTTAAAAAAAACAATACTGCCAGTCATCTGAACAGAAGCAACTTTACACGTGGTTTACAGGCCCGCAGTCGTACGCGACAACAGAAGGTTTACCGAACTTCAAATATTGGGAAAAACAAAACAATATTGGAACTATACGAGCTTTTGGCACCAAGGAAAAATTATAACAACATCAACCAAATATAAAAATCGACTGAGGTATTTAGCTGCTGATTTCGAATGTGGCCAATCACTGGCCATTGTGTTGAAGACCTATATATTCTGCGCAGCACGTGTTAACGTTTTCTGAGAGGTTGTAAGTCATTGATGAAATCCTTCTGTTTGGTGTAAACCGACACGGAAGTATGAATAACATAACCGCCAGGTTGACAAAGGATCAAGTTCTTGTTGACAAAGAGTATTCAGGATGGTGGTTTCACGGGCCGCACCCGCTCTGTTCAGAGCGATGGTTCGGTGGACACACATCTCTACCAAACAGGGTAAGAGACGCCGAACCAGACAATTCACTCCGGAATATGACGGTGCGATGTTCACAGTGGGATTGTATGTACAGTTGATAGTGATGTGAATCGGTGCTATGTAAAGCGGATTATCCCACAGGTACTAAGACAGGTACTCAGGTGTGCAGAGACGAAGGTACAATGACAGATGTGCTGAGGCACTATGTACCTAGTGTGTAGCATGCTGTTACACACAGGTGTGCTGTGTACTGATAAGTACATACTTAACACGAGTACCCCGGCTGTTGGTACCAAAGAAATACAGACTAACGTCGGTATTTGTATCACATACAAAGCATACTTAAAACCAGTTATTAAAGTGCCTAGAAATACACAAAATGGTGAAGTATACTGGCGAAATATGCCAGAATTTCGATGTTAACTCCTGTACGAGTTGTAATTAGGGCCCGTGCTATTACCTTTATTACTTATTCCATCGTAATGTAAACTGTTCAAAGTAAAATGTATAGTCAGTTGTGTACGCCATATACAAATAGGTCACGCGTGTGATTCGTCATCAGATGTGTGCATGCGCAGAACTAACGGATATTGGGACAACCGATTGTGATGACCAACTATTTTATAATCGTATTATCCATCAAATGTATATGCAATTCGCATTATCGTAATTATAAGGGAGATGAGGTGAATCATGCATTCTGTAACATTTCCCATCAACAATATACTATAAATGCATTTGTTTGTATAATTCATTGTTATCTGAATCTCGTGTGTCTTTTATAAAGTCATATTTTTCTACAATAAACTTCGCGTGCTTCTGGAGCAGAACATGACGACACTATATATAAGTCCGGTTATCAACCGTGCATACCCCATAATACCTATCACCTGTCAGCGAATATCTCGTTTAACCAGGGTATGTACCACCATATACACAGCATAATAACACGTGATGGGTCACGTGTCAACGCTACATACGACAAATTGTATCGATGCCATCATTGCTATTTATATGTTAATTGATAATATATATTGAACGAGAACCTGTTCGAAAGTTTCCTTAACATCTTAAAAACAACATCGACGGGACATTTATATATGTTAGATTTAATAAAGTGTACGATTTTGTTTTGCTTGATGCGTTGGCCATCATTAAGATCGACAAAATAAGACACAGCCAGTATGTATGTTATATCAAACTATATCTTGTATGGGGTATCCTTATATACGGACATGTGATCCGTGACATGGTTGACTGTTGTAGAATGAAAGTACATTAATCAAATCTTTTAAAAGATTTTTTTTCTGAATATTCAGGTGTCTGTCTAAAACATCCACTGACCTTTCAGAGAAGTATTTTTCGAAAATGTGAGAGTGTTATTCAAGATTATTCTAATAATTTTCTCTGAATTTTGATTTGTATATAACTGAGAATATGGTCTTTGATACTAGTGTCTAGTGTATGGACTGAACTATTGTTGTATGGTTACCGTAGCAATGCTTGTAAATAGGTTATTGTTATTGATATTATTTATTCATATCGTCGTGGTGCATGTCAGAGTATTGGGGTGTGAGGGTACGGTTATCGTCAAACAAATGCTCCAGTTCGGTGCTTAACACAAATCAAATTAAAATTAAAGACAATTGAAGTTTAATTTGATATTTTTGAACCGGTCAGTATCATTATATTTTCCAAAGATATCAAAATGAAATTTGATTGTAGTTTACATAAAGTTAACAAGACCAAATCCATCTGTCGGTCTGTGGAGCTAAAACTGAAACACTTGTGTGGCGATATTCTACACATACGTATGAATGGATGTGTTGTTTTTGTAAATTTAGTATCATAACAAAAGAATAGTCCGATAATGATATGTTTTCGATAAGGAGAACTCTTGTGAGTTCTCTCCATGTAACATTAAATCCAAGTCGTATATCTTGCATGACTAACAACAACTCCTCCCCATGTGTTGTAGTGCTGAAATACCCGTGTCATTGTATACTCATTCATACATAAAAATTTAGAACAGACGAGTTGGTGAAGTCTAACGCATTTTCATATTACTGTAGTTGTCCAAGCGTTGGAATAAGGAACGACCAATAAACTTCATTTTCCGAAACCTTTTAAAGATTTACAGATGGAATAATATTAAATACAGAATTGTGACCTCAATAGTTGAAAACAAATGCTGATAAACACTTGCGTTTTCGAATTTGTCCACAAGGTAATTCAACATCTCTATCAATTCTCAGAGTACTACAAGTCAATGATTCGGTAGCCGATTTCTTACTCGATGTAGATAACACCACTGATACTTGATGATAAAGGACCAATCCTTCTAAATAACAGAGGGATAATATCGTAGTTATTTTTTTTCAATAGAAACACAAATAAACAAAACCGGTGTTGTAATCTTGACCTCGATAGATAAAGCCTGTCTTCTGATTCCAACTTAGCCTCTGTCTATGTATGTTCTTGTTTATCGCCTTCGGGTATTCTAATAGTGCTATTTTCTTCCCCACTTCCATTTCAATCACGTCTTCACTTTGTTCTTCGTTGATCTGTTATTACCGGAAATACGTAAAATTTACGTCATCTTATGCATCAGTGATGTAATGAATGACGTCAGTGTTGCGAAGTCGACACGTGTTTTGTTACACTATCAGAAGTTCTGGTAAGGTAATTTTTAGCTCCAATTCTACATTGCTCTAGTGTTTTTGTTTACAGTAAAAACAAACACATGTTTGATGGTATTCAAATCAAGAGTTGCGCAAAATATAAAAGCAACGATTGCACCATTTACAAACGTAATGATTAAATATTGTATTGATATCAACGTACGATTGTTACCAAATCTGTGCATGGTACTAATTTTTGATTTGAATATGTATCTTACTGTATTTGTTTGACTTTTGTGACCTTTGAATTTGACCCCAGGACCCCTAGGCTTCCTGTGTGACGCTTTGAAACAGAACTGTTATATCGTTGTTATCGGATGTACAAAAATGTTAATAAATTATAATACAAAAAACAAGAAAATGACCAGTTGTTGTTATTTACCTACTGTGTACTGAAACTATACAGTATTCTGAAAATCTATAACCTCAGGACCCACCAGACATTGACTGTTAACCGCACGACTTAGCAAACACGTGGTACAAGACATGTTCAAACGACCCTCTGTTGTAACATACCTCATTAACATTTTTATAGAGACACTGTGTATCTTTATAGATCAGCGTGGTCTTATACTTTAAAAACACTTCACATTTTATTTCCAAAAGAAAACCATCTTTGATGTTCTAGTTCACTTTGTAAATGAATCAGAAATCAAACCATTCCTCCCGGGGATAATTTTGTGCAATAAAACTAATTGGAATATAAAATGGAATACTTTGATGAAAAAAAATTTCGAGTTGAAAACTGAAAAAGCTAATAAGTGTTATAAGGGCTGGTGTTGAAGGTCATACGGCGGAGAGAGAATTTTAATTAAAGTGGCATACTAAGTTTATGAACTTTAAAAACGTCATGCTTTCATTAAGACTGGAATTCATTTCAACGTTTGACTACTTTCATCTGACACTCACGTTTATATGAATGCCAACAGAATATACGGACAAGTTCAATGAAGCGTGTTAAAGTGATACATGTTGCCTTTTTTCCAGTTGGCATTCATAATGTATTTATACATCAACTAATAACTGTTGAATTTAATTATCTGTAATATTTAAATTCCGTTTAGTTATTAGGAAGACAATCTGAGTTTGTTCATAATACTTTCGATATTTCTGCGCCGTTAGTAGTTCATGAGCTGGTAATTCACTGATGAGTATGGTATGGTAACAAAGGAATGATTCGCCATTGTACGTATATCTTACTATTCACGATTGTGAGCAACATTTCCTTCAAGTCCAATTTGTTTTTATATTCAAAAAGAATATATTTTCATGTTCTCTGTTGTGGAAAGACCAGCACTGTTTCCTTATAGAAAATACCTTAGTAACTTAAAAAAAAAAAAAAAAAAAATAGACACAAAATTTTATTACTTCCAAACAGAATAAAACAGAAATATGTATCGAACCTGATTATATTGTAATCTAAACAAGAACAAGAAATATTGTTCGAATCATAACCTCCGATTGCGAACTTTGATGAGAATTAAGTTTAATAGTCCGTTTGATGTCTATGGTGATTATATAAGCGAACATGAAATGACACTACATACAATTTTATCAATGGATATTTACTGGAAAAGATAGAGAATCATATCAAATTGAATAACAATATAAAAATAGAACTCACACATGGTTTATCTTAATTATGATTTTTCTTAATCTCGGTTCTTTTCTTATTTTACGACAAAAAGGCTATATTAATTTGGGAACAAAGTTTTCCAAATTACTGGAAGTTTTTCACGTAAAAGATGTTTGATAACTTCTTGGCATTTATTCAAATGGTCCATAAACCAATGCCTGAACCAAAGAATGAAAACTTCAAAGAAATTTCAAAACTGGTTTGTACTCGATGCCGTCAGTGATTTTGAATTACGGAGAAACACACAGCAGTTTCTCATTCTATTATATAAGAGAAATGCAGTTGTTCATGAAACACATCTCGCGTTTTGGGAAAGCATACATACTTTAACTTGTACATTAGAAAAATGCGGTGCACTGCTTAATGGACACTGCTTTTTATGTTTTGATGATAAAAACACGAAGTAAATGTTCGGCTCTCATGTATTACTGATAGATACGTTTAGTAAAGCGTTGTACAATTATAGAGAATATATTGTGACAAGGCAGTGTTCGTGAATGCTGTGTTAAATCTTTTTGGCGATAAAAATATACCTGGCATAATTTTCTACGCGTGGTATTTGTTTCTTAAAATCGACTTTCGAAATGATAATATGACGTATTGTCTTCACATAGCCGTAATAGACGTTTTAGAGAGCAACATTTACCGTGTAAGAACGTCATCACATCGGACCAGCTGGCGTTTAACAGTCTCAGAACAAAGAACTGGAACTTGACTCTATGAATGGTTTTGGTGGGAACAGTTGAAACCGCAATAATCTGAGTTTTAGGTAAATTCTGTTTAGCAAGAATCATTGAACACTTATTTGCAATCAATAGGTCGTACAATCAGTTAAGGTGACCACGTGTTTAATCATTCTGGCCAGTTTACTCTGGGTCTTGAATGCGTTTGTTACACTCGTAGTTTAACAGCATGAAAACAAAAAATAAATCAATGTCTTAGGAAAGCTGTCAATTTAGTGTTAACCATCCCGAGCAGGAGGAACTATATTCCCACAAGAATGTCGCTGTGACCTTCGTCAGTCGTACGATCGAACTCCGTGTCAGGCTGACAATCACAATATAACAAGTCTGACATCTATTTATGTAACAGGTTGCGGTCGCTTGTCACAGGTTTGATAGATCATGCTCGTGGGTTTCTCATACAGAACTGTACTTCAACAACAATCAAACTTTACACAATTACAATTAATACTGGCCCTAGTTCACATATTTCCTGTCATTTCGAACGTCGTTGAACCTGATGCACCAAGTAATTGGACGATTAACAAGAGTTTGTCGTAAGTCCCTAAGTACTACCTCTTTAGGTCTTAAGCAAGAAACAGTCCGATCTATGGATGACGTAATGGCGATCGTTCAATTTCGGCTTCTGTATTCCGTCATCACAATTTAACTTTACTAGATAAAGGCTGAAGGTTATTTGTGAGTATTTCCTTGGCAAGGATTAATTTTTCATTAATAATTGTGAAACATATAAATAGAGACGGTTGCTAGAATTACATTAACGGAGATTCATTTTTCATTGTTTAGTACTAAACGTGTCATAAATCTCAAAATACCACAAAAAGTAGAATTAACTGAAAAAAGTGTTACTATCTATTTTATTTACTTATTTAAATTGAATTACACGAATGTTTGCATTAGAGTTAATTTAATATTTTAATTCTTTACAAGAGAAGAAAGTTTTAATCATAAAAAGTCGACAAAAGTCCATTTTATCATCGTGATAATTGATAGTCATTATCGCAACATAAAACAGCTTCATTATCACGATGCTACTTAGTCTCAAATACAAATATGTCGAATTCATCATCATATATTGTACTTATATCAGAATGATTATGTAGTGGGTTACAACAGGCGGCCTTTATCATAGAATTATAGTCGGTGGCAGGAAGATTTTGACTCGGCCCAGAAAGATAGATTTAAAGGTTGTTCACTAAAGGGTCATTAATTATTTTTTTATTTTAAAAAGCTGATTGTGTATTCTATACCACTTTTCCAACAAAATGTGGAAAAGTTGCTGTGTCATAGTTACTGATATTTTAACTTTCAACTACGAGCAACATCATTAAAGGGCACCTTTCGCTTTATTCCTACAACCCATTTTTCTTTGTGGAAAACAAACATAAAGATCCAATATTACAAAAAGATGTATCATATATCATTAAGTCAATCGCTCTTTCTTGTAAATTTAAGAATTTGGGAAAAAAAGCGCTCTGGCAGAAAGGTTGAATATTTAATGGAATATTCTAGATATCTTCATTGAGAAAATAGATGTTTAAGGCAGCGCTACGTAGCATTATCCGTTTGAGGCCAAATGCTCAACATTATCACAGATTGGAATCAGATAGATTTCTTATCACCCCATATTTTATTTTAATATACATGAATATGTAAATTAACATTAGAAAAGTATTTGAATACATTACTATAGAAATGTGTCAAGTTATAATCTATCCATATATAATTCTTCTATCGGTGAGATAGGTAACATTCTCGGGTAATGGTGTCATCCCTCAATGCAAAATACAATATTAATGGCCTGATTAATTTTAAATATTTCACCCACAAAACCTACATCGTTTGAGGTACATATACATTATACTGCTACATGGTGCAATAGCTAAAGGGATATAGTCCGTCGCCCAAGAGGCGGCGTAATAATTAGCATATGCAAATTAGCAAAGTTAGGTCTTTACACGCAAAATGTGTATGCAACGCTGTGGCGAGATCGTGTTCAAGTGTCAAGTCCAATGTTTATTTGACAAATGACTTCGCTGAGTTACATTTCCAATTTATATAGGACAGTACAAGAATGCCATCAACTTTCTTCACCGCTAGAACAAAAAAAGTCCGCCAATATAAACAGATGTAGAAAAATATTAACGAGCTGTATCATGCGTAAAGAGACATATGATGCACTAGGTATTTATTTAAACAAATGTAAGTTATACCAGCGTTATATACGAATCAGAGATAACACTCCTTACCTGGACTGTTTTATTCCCGTATCATGAAATCCACACGAATTGTTTGTTCATCTTGTTTCCATCTGCTATTGTAATAAAGGTTAAAAGGTCGTCCAAATAAACCATACGACTCGATATACCTGGAGTAGGTAAGATAAAGTTTTACACACCTGTACACCTGTTTGTGAAACAAAACATGACGTAACACCTACATTATCCAGTACTTTAAGTAGAACTATGTAGAAAATTAACTGGTGCGTTATTTTGTATCAGAATGTATCCTGTATCGTTTATTAACGATTTCCCGCTCTCATGATGAATTAATGACTGAATCCTTCTTTTCATCCACCCATTGAATATTTCATTGTCATCCATTTTTACATTCATCTTCATTGAGACGTCTACCATATAAGACAATAAGCGACAGTACACCGGTAACCGATGCTTGATGTACCACAAAACAGTATAGGATTTTACGCGGGAGGAAATGCTTTCTCTATTATCAACAGAACCATCTGAATAAACCTTAACCTAATGATGCCCTAGATCAGTTAACGTGTTTACACAAAATGTAATATCGGGTAATATAAACAGAACAACAATTTCAAATTTACTTTTTTCTGGACCCGATTGATAGAATCCATAGCTATCACGATTATTGTCAAATTGATGACAATACGAAACTAGAATAGAAACGATATAGATTCCTAAACACTCGAAGAACGGACGAAGAAATTAATGGGAAATTAATTTG